GCTGAATAACGGAAAAGTCATCTGTTGTAACTTGGGTTTTTCAGATTTTTATTAAGAAGATTTGGCGTCTTTAATTTCATTTATCTATTCTTGTATTTTCAAAAATGATTTATTTGAAAAACCCAATGTAAATATTTTTATAAAAGTCATTCATTAAAAATCGTCTACAGATACAAGAATAATTGGTTGTTAAAAAGTGTCATGAAAAATTTTATTATTAACAAAAAATGATTATGTTTTAGAAAGTTTATTAACGTGTTAAGTTTGTTGATTATTATTTGATATATTACAGTCAAACCTTGATTTTTTAATCCAAATTTCCACAATTTCAAAAATCTGATTGGTTGTTTTAAGTTTATTTTTTGGAAAAAATGCAAGGTAATTTTTAATTGAAATAATATATAAATTGTGCCGATTCCGGGGGCACTGCGTTCCCCGCTCCATTTTCACAATTTCGTCGCTCCGCTATGTATTTTTGTTAAATTATTTTTTGGTCATTATTTTAAAAAAATAATATATTTTTATATATAAGTTTAAAATGATAACAACCATGGATTGTATTATTAAAGAGATAAAAAATGTGTATATATAACAGAATTAAATATATATAATGTTGATTTATACTATAAAGTTGAAACATATAATTAACCTTTGAAGTATGAAACTGATTTAATTAAATCATTGTTTTTTTAAAAAATAAAGTTATATCTCAAAAAAACTTAAAAATATTACAAAACTTTAACATACATATCGTTTACAATGTACAATTTGAAAAGTTGAACACCGAAGTCTTCAAGTCGACAATACAGTCAGTCGAAATTTTCTTGGAAGATATCAACCCGGACAAAGGAAGCATTGACGATGTTGTGTTGATTAGTATACCAACTTATATTCCAAAGGTGATGCAGTTGTTGCAAGACTACTTCAATGGAAAAGAAATAAACAAGAGCATCAACCCAGACGAAGCTGTTGCTTGTGGTGCTAATGTACAAGCTGCTATCTTGACTGAAAATGGTTGAAAAGCAACAAAAGACGTGTTGCTATTTGATGTAGAAACTGAAACCAGGGCCAGGGAAAGTTGGAGGTGTGATAACATCCTTGATTCAAGAAATTCAAAAATCCCAGCAAAAAAATAACCGATCTTTTCGACTCCGGACTGCAACTTATTGGGGAAGTTTGATCCGAGTAGAATAAATATTTAGAAAAGTAATAAACAATTGAAATTTTCCTATTTTTTCGAATTTAGGCAATGATTTAATTAAATCGGTTTCATACTCCGCAGGTGGAAAATTTTTTTCACAAAAAAATAAAAAAAAATAAAAAAAGAAAAAAAATAAACATCCTAAGGTTAATTCAAAATTAAAGATGATTATATAAAATTTATTAAACCCAAAGTAAATATAGTGATGATTGGCTTAAATATATTAATAAAAATAATACTCATAAAGAA